GCGCCACCCCGGCCACCCCTACCCACAATGCCCTGGGCCTCCCCAACTGCCCTACCCACAATGCCCTGCGCCACCCCGGCCACCCCTACCCACAATGCCCTGGGCCTCCCCAACTGCCCTACCCACAATGCCCTGCGCCACCCCAGCCACCCTACCCACAATGCCCTGGGCCTCCCCAACTGCCCTACCCACAATGCCCTGCGCCACCCCGGCCACCCCTACCCACAATGCCCTGGGCTGCCCCGGCCACCATACCCACAGTGCTCTGGGCCTCCCCAACCGCCCTACCCACAATCCCCCTCTGTGGCTGCTCCCCACATCCCTGGGCATCCATCCCTGAGGTGGGTGTGGGTGGGGGCCGTCCTTGCCCCCCCCCCCCCCCCCATGTGGGGCAGTGCTGAGCTCCGAGCTGAAGGGCCTTTGTGCTGCCTAATCCTCTCCTGACCCACGGCCAAGGGGTGGGAGCTCCCCCCCAGATCTATATGGGAGCTGGTGCCCCCCTTGGCTGGGACGTCCCGTCCCAGGGCACAGAGACCCCCTGTTAGGAGCCGCCCGCCCCGCAGCCGGGCTGGCCAAGATCAGCCTTGGCACCGCGCCCCCTCCGGCTCCGGTTCCCCTATAGAATCGGCCCCATTCATCCCGGCCGGGGGGCGCGGGGCCGGGGGGGCCGGGATCTGAGCCGCGCTTGTTCCCCACGGTGTTTGCTTTCCATCCCCGCCCCGGACGGGACCGAGATCAAAGGCTTGGCTGGTTGGAGAGGGGAGGCCCTGGGCGGGGACCAGGACATGGGGCCTTTTCCCTCTACGTGGCGGGGACGGGGGGCGGCTGGCTTGGGGGGCAGGGAATGGGACACGGGACCTGTCCCGTCTGGGGTGCCCGCCCCAGGGCGGGGGTCTGGCTGGTTCAGAGGGGCAGGGAATGGGACACGGGACCTGTCTCCTCTAGGGGTGCCAGCCCCAGGGCGGGGGTCTGGCTGGTTCCGGGGGGCAGGGAAGGGGTTCAGGGCCTGTCCCCTCTAGGGGTGCCCGCCCCAGGGTGGGGGTCTGGCTGGCTGGAGGCAGGGAAGGGGTTCGGGGCCTGTCCCATCTAGGGGTGCCTGCCCCAGGGTGGGGTCTGGCTGGCTGGGGGCAGGGAATGGGTTCGGGGCGCTCACCCCTGTGCCCCCGCAGAGATCCCGGCTGTGACGCTGCGCGTGGGGCGCCGGGACGAGGGCTCCTTCCGCCTGCAGTGGACTCGCCCCAAGATCCACGTGGATGGATATGAAATTCACCTCGTTCCCACGGTAATGGGGTCCCGGGGAGGGGGGGTGTCAATCACGGGGGCTGGTCCTGGATCTGGGCCCTGGAGGGCAGGGGATGTCAGTGGGGAAGGAGGGGTGTGACCCCTTGGCCCCCCACCCTGGGGAACCTCACTTCTGGGAGGGGGCATTGGAAGGAAGGTGGGAGGGTCAGGTGGGGGTGGGGGATGCAGACAGAGCTGGGGGGTCCCCCATCCCCTGACCCGTCTGACCCCCAGCGGCGCCGTGACCCTGTGGTTTGGGGGCCTGGGAAGGGGAGGTGCCTGAGAGGGTGGGAGGGCGGGTCCCCCAGCCCCTGACCCCCTCTTTCTCTCCCCCCAGGGTGACCCCGAGGGCGCCGTGTCCCTGCAGCTGCCCGGCTCGGCCACGTCCTTCGAGCGCTCGGGGCTGGGCCCAGGCCGGGAATTCAGCGTCACCGTCCGAGCCCAGCGGGACCAGCGCCTCGGGCCCCCCACCACCCAGAGCGTCCGCACCCGTAGGTGGCGGGAGGGACGCAGCTGTGGGGCTGCTGGGGGGAGCGCTGGGGGTCCCGGGGGGCGCTGGGGGGCAGGAGGTTTGGGGGCTGTGATGGGAGCCCAGGGGAGCTGTTACTGGGGGGCTCTTTGGCATGGGGGCCCTGTGCGGGGAGGGGGAACTTAGGGGGAAGTTTAGGAAACAGGGGGGTTCTCTGGGGCGGGGCCCCCCTTCCCCACTCTCACCCGTCTTCCCCCCCCAGGGATCGACGCGCCCCGTGATCTGCGCCCCACGGGGGCCACGGACACCTCGCTGAGCCTGCGCTGGGAGCCCCCGGCTGCCCAGCCCGACGGATACACCCTGCGCTACGGCCCAGTGGGGCGGGACAGCACCGAGCCCCCCACCCGCCTGACCCTGCCCCCCCGACCGCACCACCTTCACCCTGACTGGCCTCCGCAGCACCACCCAGTACACCCTCACCCTGACCGCCCACCGCGGCCCCGAGCAGAGCCCTCCCGCCAGCACCAGCGCCACCACCGGTGGGTCCCACGGGCCCGGGGAGAGGGGCGGGGCGGGGGCAGGAGGGGATGGGGAGGGGAGGGAGATGGGGAAGAAGGAAATGAGAGAGGAGGACGAGCAAAGGAGGGAAATCAGCAAGGACTGGTGTGGGAGCAGTGCGGAGAGACAAGAGCGTCCATCCATCCATCCATCCATCTGTGCGTCCATCTGTCCGTCCGTCTGTCCACCTGTCCGTCCATCCATCCGTCCGTCCACCTGTCCATCCGTCCGTCCACCTATCCATCCATCCATCCATCCATCCATCTGTCCGTCCACATGTCCGTCCGTCCATCCATCTGTCCGTCCGTCTGTCCACCTGTCCGTCCATCCATCCGTCCGTCCACCTGTCCATCCGTCCGTCCACCTGTCCATCCGTCCATCTGTGCGTCCGTCCATCCATCTGTCTGTCCGTCCATCCGTCCATCCATCCAGTCGTCTTCCCAGTTGGTCGTCCATCATCTGTCCATCCGTGCATCTATAAGGGAGCCAGACGTTTCTAATTCTCTTCTCCCCACTCTTCTGCTCAGGGTTTTTCTTTCCCTCTCTCCCACAGCGAGTGATTTGTTCGTTCTGTCCAAAGTGGGGCTGCCCGGGAGCCCAGTCGGATCCAGCGCCTCCCTCTCCCACCCACCCCCGACTCACCACCTGTCTCCCCATCCATTTAGGATCCGCAGGTCACGGAGCCACGCGGGGGGTCGGACTAACCCAGTTCTCTTCCCTTCTCTCTTCTTCGCAGCTAGCTCACAGGCACCGGACGGGGAATACGGGGCATTTCCCCTCCAGGGGGTGCCGTCTCCCCCAGGGCAGGGACTGGCTGGCTTAGGGGGGTGGGGAATGGGGCAGGGGCCTTTCCCCTCTAGGGGGCACCGGCTCTGATCCACCCCAGGGTGGGGGACAGGCTGGCCCAGAGGGGCAAGGAATGGGATCCCCTAATTGCACCAATATTTGCTCCTGGCAGCGCCGATGCCCACCCTGCCCCCGCCTGGCCGGCTGCACCCAGAGCCCACGCGCCTCCCAGTGCCCCGTCTCCGGCCGCCTGGCCCCGCGGGGAAGCCAGGCTCCCGGCCCACCCCGGCCAACGCCTCCTCGCTCCCCAGCCAGCTCTTCTTCCGGACCATGGCGCAGAACCTGACGGCCAAGCTGTCCCGGTACAACGGGACCCTGCTGCAGCGCCTGGAAAGTTACCTCCGCGCCACACGCTACCCGCTCCGCGGCAACCAAACCATCGCCACCGTGGCCAAGACCATCTACCTCTATCTGGTGCAGAGGAAGTCCCGGGAGGAACAGGAGATGGTCTACGTGGGGCTGGGCCAGCATTCGAAGGAGCTCGGGGCCATGGCACCCACCAAGGGGCCCGCCGGCCGCTTCCAGATAGCCGGGAAGGAGGGCGGCGTCTTCTCGGAGGGCTCCCCTGACTTGGACACGGGGCCCAGGGGCCACGCCAAGCCAGCGGTGGTGGCCCGCTCACCCGGCGCCATTGTGGTCTCGCTGGAGGGCATGCGTGGCCACGCGGAGCGCGTGGTGGTCCGCTACTGGCGGGCGGGCGACGGCGGAGGAGCGAGGGAGCTGGCGGTTCCCGGCGACGCCGCGGTAGTTCGGCTCCACGGCCTGGCGCCCGGCACCACCTACCAGGTGGAGATCCACCACCTGGTCCAGGGTCGGCTGTCCAGGTCCTATTCCTTTGTCACCTCCACAGGTAGCGCTGGGCGGGGTCTGACGCGGGGGGCTCGCCTCCTCTGGCTCAGTAACCAGCCACGCCCCCGCCTTGGCTGTTCACCGATGCACCCGCTGGCGCTAACCCCCTCGGTTCTGCCCTCCTCTCTCCCACAGGCTGCTGGCTTCTGCCCACGGGCCTGGCATGGCCATCGGACGGGTCGACTCCACCCCGCTCCCTCCGTCCCCTTCCCTCCCTCTCTCCTGTGGCATTAACCCCTCATTTCTTCTGCAGCTGGTTTGGCTTCCACCCACTACAGGCCCCATGCCACGGACTCAGCGGGGAATGGGGCAGGGGCCTGTCCCCTCTAGGGGGCACTGGCTCCCATCTGGCCCCAGGGCAGGGACTGGCTGGCTCAGGGGGGTGGGGAATGGGGCATGGGACCTGTCCCCTCTAGGGAGCTCCCTTTCACCCTTTCATGCCCTCCCCCCAGCTCCAGAGGCATCTGGCACCGAGCAGCCCCCAGAGCCCCCCACGCCCAGCTTCTCCCACCCTGGGCCACCCCCAGGGGACCTGGTCGTGACAGACGTCGCCCCCGACCGGTTCCGCGTCACCTGGACGGCGACGACTGGCACCTTCCAGCACTTCCTGCTGCGGTACCGGGAGCCCGGCTCCCGGGTGCCCCCCGGGCAGACCCAGGTGCCTGGGGGGAAGAGGAGTGTGATCGTCACCCAGCTGAGCCCCGGCACCGAATACGAGGTGGAGCTGCGGGGGGTGGCACCTGACGGGACCATCTCAGAGCCCATCACCACCAGCGTGTCGACAGGTAACACCCTCGCCCCTTCCTCCAGCCAGCCTTCCTCCGCGGGATCCTGCACCCAGCCTTACAGACAGTCTTTGCAGGGCTATATGGACGCCTTGGAGAACCCAGGAGTCCTGGCTCCTAGCTGCCCCCCCACTCTACCCACTAGCCCCCACTCCCCTCCCAGAGCTGGGGAGAGAACCCAGGAGTCCTGGCTCCTAGCTGCCCCCCCACTCTACCCACTAGCCCCCACTCCCCTCCCAGAGCTGGGGAGAGAACCCTAGGAGTCCTGGCTCCTAGCTGCCCCCCCACTCTACCCACTAGCCCCCACTCCCCTCCCAGAGCTGGGGAGAGAACCCTAGGAGTCCTGGCTCCTAGCTGCCCCCCC